GTTTAAAGTGCTTTATAAATAAAATGGTATGGAATGGTTCTCAACCAGAAATGGGGGGAACGCACCCTCCGGGTTGGGGTGGAGACTGCCTCGGATAAGTTTTAAGTATATGGGAGTCTGGTTCACAAGTGACTGTAGGATAGAGAAAGATGGGACGATTGGGGCTTTATCCTTGATATTGAGGTACTGCGTTGGTTAGTCAAAGAGTATGAGTCGCAAGGCAATGGTCTTGATGTACTCCTCTGTTCACGTTACAATCCTCTCCTATAGTCATGTAGTTTGGAATATGACTGAAGGAATGACATCCCAGTTACAAGCTGCCAAAATGAGCCTTCTTCACAGAATGATCAGGGTCCCTCAGAATGAGCTGTAAAGGGTCTCTGGCGAGAGGGATGTATGAGTTTCCCTCATGGGACCCGTTGCTGCCGCAACCAGATAAGTCGTAAAAGATGTAGTTCTATTTCATCCCTCCTGACCGCCAGAGGGCGGTGCTGAAAGCACTGAATGTTCCCTTCGCGCATGCGCTGATTCGAGTAATAATACCAACGGAGTCACAGGTGTGACACGGATGACCAATCAGAGGCTATATAGCCCGACGTCATCCGCTGCTCTGCTCCTATTTTCTTCTCGCGCGCGGTTCAATTCAGGGCTTCAGCCCTTTGGACCTTTTCTAAACTTTTTACCGTCGTCGGAAGCCCGACTGCCCGTCTGCAGGAGTAGCGTGTTCGCCCTCCTAGGGCTGCGACGGTTTAACCCTGTTCAAAAGGTATTTCTGCTGTTTCGTTGGGAACTACGGCGGTTTCCGCCTCTCCCAAATTACAGCGTCTGACTACTATGTGTTTGATTCAACACCGGTGAGTAGTTTTCCTTATATTTCGCCGTTGGTTAGCGGTAGCGTGAGCGGTTGGGAGACCTCCAACCGCGTGGTCGGCTGGACTGTGCTCAGACGTTGTTTATGACTCCTATGTGTGTGATGTAACACTGGTGAGTAGTGGTTTTTTTGCTTATATTTTGCTATTGGTTAGCGGTAGCGTTCACTCCGCTCCCGTTTACTGGAGGCCTCCAACCGCGTGGTCGGTTGGACCGTACTCCGAAGTTTGTTTATTACGTAGCCAGCTGAGTTCTAACCTTGTTTTAATTGGTGAAGGCGAGTGTTCTCACCCCCTCTCCCAATTGTCCTCTTTTACCAGTTGAGCTAGTGGTGCTAGCTTCTCTGAGTTCTAACCTTGTTTGTTTTCATTGGTGAAGGCGAGCGTTCGCGCCCCCTCTCCCAATTGTCCTCTTTTACCAGCTGAGCTAGTGGTGCTAGCCTCTCTGAATATCTTGGGCATAGCTGGGTAAGGAGCATGGACGGCTCTCACTGCTGTACAGTCTGTGGAGCCATGCTCCAGATAGATGACGGTCACGACCTGTGTCCTGCCTGCCTTGGACATGACCATCTGGTGGATGCCCTGTCAGAGAACCCCTGCATGAATTGCAGCTTCATGTCGCATGCTGTGAGGGTGGCCCGGCTGGCCCAGTTTCGCCCCAAACTCGGCGATGACCTCCCGCCTTCTGGGCAGGAGGCTCCACCTAGGCGCTCGAAGCGCCGGACTGAGGCCGCAGTCTCTGTGGCCCCTCCTGGGAAGAAGCGAGCCAGGTCTGATAGGGACCTCTCCACAAGGGTGGAGCAGCTCTCCGCTGAATTAGCGGAGATGAAGTCCCTTTTTCAGGTACGCCAACTGGGAACTGAACCAGTGGCAGCAACTGGACTCTCCTCCCCACCCATGCCTGAACTGGCTGTGGAGGAAGATGTACTATCCTTGGCTGCCTCTGCCTCTCACTTTTTAGGTGAGGAGGACGGGCATTCATCTCGAGTCTCAGAGACAGCTTCACTCTCTTCTCAGAGTGCAGTTAGTGGGTCGGGTGACGGCTCGATGCAGGACGTCATGCGTATGGCCCCGAGACAACTGCAGTTGGACGTCCCACAACCAGAGGCGTCCACCCCTGGAAGTGCCTTCTTCAGGCGCGGACTGACCCCTCCTTCCTTTTCTGTCCCTCCATCACAGGAGTTCCTGAGGGAGTCGCATGGTTGTTGGCGGGACCCCAAAGCCTTTGCACGCCTCTCTGCAGATGGCAGAGTGTTGGCGGCCATGCATGAGCCGGCTGCAGCAGGCTTGGATCGCATGCCAGCGATAGAACCTGCTGTTGCCTCTCTCATCGTGTCACCAGAAGAAGCTCTGCGCAGTCATGTTCGGTGCCCACGAGCTCAGTGTCGTGTCACGGATGAATTCCTCTGCAGAGCCTATGCCGCCGGAGCGCGTGCTGGCTGCCTAGGTAATTCCTTGGCACACCTAATGCTTGCCCTCTCCGCGTCCCTTCAAGGGACTAGTGGTGCGACAGCAGCGATGGGCTTTAACGATGCAGTGCTTCAGGCCTTTGCACTAATGACGAGGGAGCTTGGGCGTGTGATGTCCTCCTTGGTCCAAGCTCGCCGACAGGTCTGGTTAGCGCAGTCAGCATTGACTGAGCCATGCCGTAGAGCCCTCCGTAATGTCCCAGTGGTGCCGGGGGAGTTGTTCGGTTCAGCCGCCTTGGAAGCGCTGGAACGGACTGTCCAGGCACGACAGAGAAGGCAGCAATTTTCGAGCCTTAGCAGGCCAATGCCCCCTCCACCTCCTCGGCATCCAAGGCGCCTGTCGGCTGGCTCCAGCATGCAGCCGCCGCCTGGGGGTCATAACCGGCCGGGTGGTCCTTACCCTCATGCGGTTCAGCAAAGGCCCAGCAGGAACTTTCGTGGGTTGGTCCACCGACCAGCTGGGCAGGCTCGGACCAGGGACTCTGGCTGCCGCCCCCCCACGGCCCCTAGGGGCCGTGGAGGGAGACTGTGATGCCATCAGGCCGACCGTCGGATATTTCTCCCACCAGCAGCTCAGCTATTGGGTTGCTCACGCCGTGGACCCATGGGTGGTTGCCACTCTGACCCATGGTTACCGGCTACAGTTCTGACGGCGGCCTCGTATCTCAGGCCGGGTCAAGATGACTGTAATCGCCGACCCGGTGAAAGCTCAAGCACTAGACCAGGAACTTTCCGCCCTCTTGGCCAAGGACGCAATAGAGGCAGTGGACCCTCTGCAACAACCCAGGGGCTATTACTCGACTTACTTCCTTGTGCAAAAGAGGACGGGCGGGTTTCGTCCCATTTTAGACCTGATGGGACTCAACCAGTACCTAAAGGAGCTGCCCTTCCACATGCTCACAACAGCAGAAGTCCTTCAAGCTGTCACGAGGGAAGAATGGTTCACGTCTGTAGACCTGAAGGATGCATAATTTCATGTGCCTATTGCGGCAGAACATCGCCGCTTTCTCAGGTTTGCCTATCGGGGTCACCACTGGCAGTTCCGGGTACTCCCATTCGGGCTCTCTCTCTCCCCAAGGGTGTTCACTCGGTGCGTGAAGGCAGCCCTCTCTCCTCTGCAGGCCTGCAGAGTGAAGATTCTGCCGTACTTAGACGATTGGCTTCTCTGCGCCCCGTCTCAGGCCTGTGCCTTTCACGACACAAACCGCCTGCTCGCTCATATGTCCCAGTTGGGCCTCAATGTCAACCTGGAGAAGAGCTGCCTGATCCCTTCCCAGACGACCACCTTTCTTGGGGTGATTCTGGATTCATCTTCCATGAGAGCTCGCCCATCCGCTCAAAGGGTGGCCGACATACTCCAGCTGGTCAATCGGTTCAGGCTGGGCAGGCAGCTCCCCTATGTTGCCTTCCTGCAACTACTCGGCAAGCTGACATCAGTCACTCGGGTGGTGCCCTTAGGCCTGCTGTCACTTCGCCCCTTGCAGAGGTGGCTCAACAGCTTTCGCCTGGATGCCAGGCTGCACAGGCATCGCAAGCTCGCAGTGACGTGGTCATGTCTTCATGCCTTGACTCCATGGAGGGACGAAGATTATTTGTCCAGGGGTGTCCCCATGGGAGTGGTAGTGTGTCGCAGGGAAGTGGTCACGACAGATGCCAGCTCCATGGGATGGGGGGCTGTATGGCAACGCAGAGCGGTTCAGGGCCGCTGGGGTCAAAGAGACCATTCCAAGCATATAAATGTGCTGGAGCTGCGTGCAGTGCACTTGGCACTCAGGCACTTCCTGCCTCACCTGGAAGGGAGGCATGTACTTGTTCGGTCAGACAACACCTCTGTTGTCTACCACATCAACCATCAGGGGGGCACCAGGTCAGCACAACTTCTGAGAGTGTCCAGAGAGCTCCTGGAATGGGCCTCTCCTCGCCGGTCCACCCTGCGGGCAGCGTACTTGCCAGGGCGACACAATCAGGTCGCAGATTTTCTCTCCCGCCAAGAGTCCCCTCCGGGAGAGTGGTCCCTCCACAGAGACATAGTGCTGATGATCTGGGACCGTTTTGGTCAGGCAGAGATAGACCTGTTTGCGACGGAAGAGTCGACTCAGTGTCCCCTATGGTACTCTCTTACGGGGGCGTCGGGTGCGCTAGGCCAGGACGCATTGGCTCATCCTTGGCCAAGGGTCCTTCTATATGCCTTTCCACCCCTTTCTCTAATTTGGCCAACCCTTCAGAGAGTCCTCGAGGAGGGCCACAGGATGCTGCTGGTGGCTCCGTATTGGCCAGCGCGACCATGGTTCCTACTGCTACGAAGTTATGTCAGGGCGTCCCATGGTGTCTTCCGACCAGAAGGGACTTGCTGTCTCAGTTGGGGGGACTTATATGGCACCCCAATCCTCAACGTCTTCGGCTGTGGGTGTGGCCACTGCAAGGCTAGGACAGCAGCTGACTGGAGTTTCGAGCCCCGTCAGACGCACCATCCTGGGCGCCAGGGCACCCTCTACTCGTCAGCAGTACGAAAACAGGTGGCGCCTGTTTTCCCAATGGTGTTCGGATCACAACAAGGCTCCAGTCTCCTGTACAATACCCACCATTCTGGAGTTTCTCCAGTCTCTACTTGGTAAGGGTCGCTGTCCTTTGACGCTTAAAGTTTAAGTAGTGGCAATATCATCTAATCACGCTGGCATTGATGGCTGTACGGTAGGGAGCCATAATCTAGTTTCTCTTTTTCTGCGTGGTGCCTGTAGGTCACACCTGCCGACAGCTCCACGAGCACCAGGTTGGGACCTTCCCTTGGTTCTCCAAGCTCTGTGCCGTCCTCCTTTCGAGACTCTATCGCAGGCGGACCTCAAGTGGCTTTCATGTAAGATGACTTTTTTGTTGGCCATTACCTCAGCAAAGAGGGTCAGCGAGCTACATGCTCTCTCAATCAGCCCCTCATGTCTCAGGTGGGGCCCTGAGGGCTCGTGTGTTACCTTGTGGCCAAACATTGCATTCGTACCAAAGGTGTTATCTCACTCTAACCAACCGTTGAGGCTGGCACGTTTTCAGCCTGCGCCTGGTGAGGGGTCTGCATTATTGTGCCCGGTAAGGGCACTGGAGGCATACGTTGCAGCTACTGCCGTGATAAGACATTCAGACCAGCTGTTTGTGTGTTATGGAGGCCCTAGGTTAGGCTGTCCTCTTTCCAAACAGCGCCTCTCCCACTGGATCGTGGACGTCATCTGCCACGCCTATGCTGCAGGGCCCGGCTCCCTGCCGGTCGGCTTGAAGGCTCACTCTACCAGGAGCGTCTCCGCTTCCTGGGCTGCCCTGAGAGGGGTTCCGCTGGAAGCAATATGTGCTGCTGCATCGTGGGCTTCCCCAAGCACGTTCACCAGATTTTATAGAGTTAACGTGGCCACCCCTCATCCCCTGGGCCAGGTTCTTCTACAAGGGTCCTCTGGGCCTCCTCAGTGAGGTAGGTGTTAGGATTCCTTGTGACATCGTTGGCATTAGTCATTCAGTGCTTTCAGCACCGCCCTCTGGCGGTCACGAGGGATGAAATAGAACGAAAGTTACGTATGTAACTACGGTTCTATGAATCCCGGATGACCGCCAGAACTTCTCCGTCACTCAGAATCCTTGCGTTCCGCGAGAAGATTCTGTAGGAGCAGAGCAGCGGATGACGTCGGGCTATATAGCCTCTGATTGGTCATCCGTGTCACACATGTGACTCCGTTGGTATTATTACTCGAATCAGCGCATGCGCGAAGGGAACATTCAGTGCTTTCAGCACCGCCCTCTGGCGGTCATCCGGGATTCATAGAACCGTAGTTACATGCGTAACTTTCGATTTTTTTTGTTGCAGCAGCAGCTTGTACTTAAACTGGTAAAAAGGTATCTTTGGCACCATTTTGTGCATGTTTTTAATAGTCATTCATGTATTTTATCCATACATGTGGATGTATTAATTCAACATAAAACATTCAACATAAGTTTAATAAAAAAGGTTTTCATGGCATTAGTTTCACAGCATACCCTTTGTCATCAATAAACCAACTGCAAAAAAATGTGCATATACCAACCATTAAGTTTTTGTAGGGCTGCGCACTTTCCATGATCATTTCATAAATGATTAAATATTAACCATTAAATATCCAAAGAAATTTTGTTAAAAGACAAAGTTGTTATAATCTAAAGGGGATAGAGATATTTGTCAAACCAAAATTCAGAACTAGTCTGAAGGGAAGGTCTACCTCAATCCAAGGAGTTAGATTGTGGAATGGTCTAGAGAGTGATGTGAAAAATGCCAAATCAATGTGTACGTTTAAGAAAAAGATCAAAACTGAATTGTTAAAAAAGTATATATGAAGTAGCTTAGTGTGTGTTTTGTATTAGAATTAGAAAAATTAGAAAGTTATTCATTTTGTTCTGTTATTTGAAAATTATTAGGATTGAAATAATTGTTTGGAAAAAAAGGGGCAGATATAATAAGATTTTTTCTTCTTTCTGCTGCCTTTCATTTTAAATCTTTTTTTATATTGTTATGGAATTGTTTTGTACTTTTTTTAAATGAATAAACTTTATACCATACCATAAATGGCACAGCTAAACTTTGCTTGGAAAAGGCGCATGCCATGTCTTTGGATGTATGCACATTTTTAACATGAGGCCCCTGCTTCAAAAGCAAAAATGCAGCAACAGCAGCCAATTAGCCAAAATATTTGTATGTAGTAACAGCTACAAACTTATTTCATTCTTAGTGTGAGTTCATGTAAAATGGTCTTACTGATCTGGCTGGCTTGAGTTTTGTTGGGTGGAGGAGGAAGACAGCTGAAGTACTTGTAGTTTAACAGCCTGATGAGCTCATCTTTCAACAACTTATCTGAAAAGAGATTTACATGAGAAAACTTTCATCAGTCAGTATTAAAATACTTGTGTAGGTTACTACTGTTAAAAAAAAAAAATTTGAAGAAAACTCAGGATTCTAAACAATGCTTAAACTACACTGAGCAAAAATTTAAATTCAAAAGCACTCGTCTTTGCTCCCATTTTTTTATGAGTTGAACTCAAAATCGAAGACTTTATGTAAACAAGAGGTACTTTTCTCTCAAATAGTTAAATGTGCATTAGTGAGCACTTTGCATCGATAATTTATTTGCCTCACATGTGTGCATATCAAGATGTTGATTAGAAAGCATTTATTGCACAGCTGTGCTTTAAGCTGACCACAACAAGTCCATCACAGGGCCTCAGAGACAACGAGAGAGACAACCATGCACTCTCACCTAGAGACAATTCAGAATTACCAATTAGCCTAGCATGCAGGGTTTTGGTCTGCAGGAGCAAACCCGAGTACCAGGAGAAAACCCATGCATGCAGAAATTTGAGGTTTATTAGTCGTCAGTTATAATAAACATTAAAATAAACAGTTGAAATATAGTCTGTGTGCAAAATGATTATACAAGTTTCACTTTTTGAATGGAATAACTGAAATAAATCAACTTTAAAATAACCTAATTTTATATACCTTTGGAGGTTGTTTTTGTTCCTTAATACTGGCTTTGATGTTTATGATAAGCTGCTTGTTTAAAAATCTTTTATAAACCAATTTGTAATTTTTATTTGAATCATCAAATACATACAAACTGTAGCTTTGATTGTTGAAAAAACATTGTTTCTATGCTGCAAATAAAATGTGTTAAAATTATGGTTCCACGTGTATCTGTTGTGTGATCAGATAAAAGGCCTCGGCAAAGCAAGCTCCCAAGCTGAATTTCAACCCCAGCCCGCCCCTGGGCAGGGTACTTGGTTCTGTGTTGACAGAGCGGAGCGATTGCTTGTATAATGGTAGGGGAAACACTGCCATTCATAACTCCCATTTCGACTAAAACCCACAGTCGCTAAATAATACTACCACCACGTTTGACTGTATGGTTTTCTTTTGGTGATCCACTTTCTTGTTCCTGCAGCAAACAGACCAAAATCTTTTGTGTTCTGGTCTTTTTGACCAGAACACATTTTCCCCACAGACTTAGGAAATTTGATGTTTCCTGTGATAATTAAGTATGGATGTTTTTCATGTCAGATAAAGCTTCTACCCGAGTCCAGGCATGTGTAGAATATCGTCACATGAACATCCCAAACAATTTTGTTTGAACTTACATGTTGATCCAGCCACAGGTTTGTCCTTTCCCTCCAGAAGGTCCATGTAGATCACAGCAGCCCGCTCCATCTGCTCCTTTAAACTACAGCAGCAAATGAAGAGGAGTTAATTTGGAGCCATTTCAGACATTTGACTCTGAAAACAAAGCTCAATTAAAGCTGCAAGCAGCATTGGAGGCCCTCGCACCAAAGCGCCGCTTCGGCCTTATCGCGACCGCAGGAGCTCCATCTAGTCCACCCAGTCACCATTGCGAATGCACTCGTTCCAATCCCGTACGCGTTAACCACGGCCTGCATTTCCCGAATCTTAGACATTGCCTTCTGTCCATGTCGTTACTTGTCCAGCTGCAGGTCTTACAAGTATAGGTGAAATCTGACCTTCCAGACAGGAGTTATGGCGACTTCCTGTTTTAGGGTGAATGTTTGACAAGCGCTTCCTTTATATGTTTTTCAACATGTGTGTGGTAATCAACAGTTAGCAAACAAAATTTCAGTCTAATATCTCATACAGTGCGAAGCTGGAAGTGTCATCCAATAATCAACAGTTTTTTTCTCCGAATAGGTGGGGCTTAAATGATGTCATGAATCAAGAATACTAATGTGTCTACAAGTGCTCACTGACGAAGCACAAAAACTCAGATTCAGATTGGATGATGCATCACTGAGATAACTGTTGGAATAACGTAGGGGCGCATTTGCGTCCAATGTTAAAGAACAATATCAATGTGTGTAGAAGTGCTCACTAATGACGTACCAAAAATCTGGCCTAGATCAGATATTTCACCGAGATACAACTCTTTGAATAATGTAGGAGACGCACTTGAGTCATATGTTAAACCACAATATCAATGTGTCTAGACGTGGCCACTGATTATGCAAAAATTCTGGTTCAGATTGGCTCATGCATCTGAGATATAACTGTTGGAATATTGTAGGGGGCGCACTAGAGTCATTTGTTAAACCACAATATCAATGTGTGAACAAGTCCTCACTGATGACGCACAATAAATCTGGTGCAGATTGGATGCTTCACCACTGAGCTATAACTGTAGGAATAATGTAGGTGGCGCTGTGGAGGCTATTGGCCACTTATGAATAACTGTTCAAGGGGCGGATAATGATCGATCAGTGATTTTGGTGCACCTCGGCTGAAATCTGTGCAATACAGAGCCAAACGTATTGCAACAGCGCCACTTGTTAATTCACCACGCCCACATCCACTAGCAAAAACTGTTTGCGCTTTAAATCAAGTCTGACCATATTATCTGTCGTCTAACAGGATCATCCTGATTAGGTCAATGGTGTTAAAGAGGGAGCATTCCAAGTTTAAAAAAAATTAACACTGTTCTGAGGGGGCGGGGCTTTGATGACGTCAAAATATGACCACAATGGATCGTCGTCAGGCATCCAACAGGGATGAGTCATGCCAAGTTTTGTGCATTTCGGTCTTTCAATGTGAAAGTGTTTGGAAATTTATGACATGAAGCTCAACTTTGAGGCCTGGCCACGCCCCTTTAACATACACGAAATCCAAGCTTTAGAGAACTTTTACTCTCCAATGTCTTAAGGGCACATTAACAAAGTTTGAAGGCAATCCATCAAAATCCCTAGGAAGAGTTCATTCAAATTTGCCATTAGAAACTTCCCAAAATGACCCTTTGACCCCAAATGGCCGACTTCCTGTTGGTTTTGGACCAGGGCTACAAGAGACTTTTTCATAGGTCCTGAGAAGATCCAGATTTTCACAGAGTTTCAGAATTATCTGTCAAAAAATGGCTAGGGGCTGAGGTTTTAAAATATTCTAGGGGGAGCTGTGGAGGCTATTTGCCACTTATGATGGCTTCCTGTTCAAGGGGTGGATAACGATCTATCATACCGATTTTGGTGCACCTCAGTTCAAAACTGTGGGAATTAGAGCCAAACGTATGGCGACGGCATTACGTCTTACTTCGCCACGCCGCCCACATGCTCCACCCAAAACTGTCAGTGTTTGAAAGCAAGTTACATCAACAGGTCTTTGGTCACTGGACACAGAATCATGTTGATCAGGTAACAAGGGTCAGATAGGGATCTTCCAACATAAAACTTTATACTTCCTGTTGTCAAGGGGCATGGCTTAAGTGATATCATGATTTTACCATTCATTCTTGCAAGGGTCAGGATGTGGATCAATCACTGAATGTTTGTCTCAGACAGTTTTCGTGTAGGAGCTATTAGCGTTTCGTTTTTCATGGTGACATTTCAAACTTTGAGGTCTGGCCCCACCCCTTCAGCATGCTCCGAAACGAACAGTCCACTATGCCTTTTGACCAAAATGGCCACGTTTGAAACTGATTGGGCAAAATCCCTAGGGAGGAGTTCGTTCAAATGCGGAGGCTGTAAACCACCAAAAAAAATAAAAATAAATAAATTAAAAAGAAAAAAAAGGTATGAAAATTGAGCTGACATTCCAAAATGACCACCTTCCTGTTTATCGTACAACATTGGTGCCAGAGGATTTTCTGTGCGTCTTGGTGAATTGGACAAGTGTACCAAACTGCATGCTTCTACGACAAACTAAGGTTAATGCGGAGGGTATTTTGAAAATTTCCAGATGGCGCTTTTTAGTCGTTTGTTGCGATTTTTGCGACGCCCTTAAAATATGTCATTTTTCATCAGTCCTCATGCGTCCAGCAAATTTGGTGAGTTTTGGGATATGTTAAGGCCCCCAAAAGGCCAATTCATTTGACGGAAAAATTGCTCGGACCTAATGAACCGAGCGATTACAGTAGGCCTTCGCAGCACTTCGCTGCTCAGGTCTAATAAGAACTTTTAAATTAATTCTGGAACGTATGGGCAGCCAGTGCAAGGTTGCTAAAACAGGGGAAATGTGGTCAAACTTTCGTGTGCCATTTAAAAGCCATGCAGCAGTGTTCTGTACCCTCTGATACAGTCGGGGGGGGGTAGTGTGTCCTCAGAAAATTTTGGATAACAGATGACATTTCCTACATTTTGGTGTATTTAAACAGGTTGTTATACATCAACATTTACCTAAAGTTGTAAACTTAATAAAAGTACTATTTTGGAGGCGAACAGCAGGTTGTGTGCAACAGCTCTGATTCTGTCAGGTGTCCTAAACCCTCCCTCCTCTCACTTAATGGTTCTGAGCTGCTGCCGCTCCTGCTCCAGTCTTATGGCACCGTTTGAAGCACCTGAAGGCTTCAATCCTCTGTTGTCCAACTAAGGACAATGGATGGATGGATGGATTGATCAACCCATCCATCCATCCATCCTTTTTTTATTGAAGTAAATTGGACAGTGACATTTTGATCGCCGTAAATGACAAAATAGCGCCATTGTTTTGAAATGCGACAAATAATGTGAACAACAAACATTTCTCTTTGTATTTTTAATTTATTTTTTACTGTAAGCTTTGTTATTTATTATGTCTGAAATGTAGCAGGAGTTAAGACATCTACTGATGTGTGCATGTGCTGGGTAGAGATTGGAGACATTTTTCTTGGAGACATGCACTGTCCACAGTAGATTTATTTATTCTGTTGAATAAATGATCATTTGTTTCCGGGGTCTGAGAGGAGGAGAAGGGGTGTTTCAGTGCACGGCCCTGTTCAGGAGGGACAGTATTTGGAGAAGAGGAGGAGACGAGGACTCCGCGCATCACCTCTGTGCGTAAATGTGACTGATCCATCCTCACCCCCACAAGTCCATTGCATGAGGCAATGAGAATCTCATTAGTCTTTTACTAGTGCCGTTTCTGTGCTATGACAAGCTCTAAACACCAACTGAAACTCTTCAGATTATTTCTTTGTAGATATTCGCGCAACTGACCAGAAACTAAAAGTCCACACTCATCCAAGATGGCCGCGCTTAGAGCAGTTACAGCTTCACAGGCTCCCGGTACCATCCCAGTTTTTAGAAGTTTTGATATTGACTCTGTGCCCGACTCCGCACGATTTATGCATGTGAACTATAGCCGAACCGAACTGATTAGAATAGGAGCGGATATGCCACGAAATAAAGCAGAAATCGGCAACAAACTCAAAACTACGCTCGGCAGAATGCAGATTTTAAAATCTACCTGGAAGCTGCAGCAGAGGCGTAAGAGGAGAGGATGCCGGGCGGGGGTTATAGTGAGGCTACGAGCTAACACTAAAGCCGGTAAACTCCCCATGCCGTCTGTCGAAAGTCCGCTCGTTGGACAACAAGATGGACTTACTTCGTCCGAGAGCGGGCGCCTCAGAAGAGATGAAGCAGTGTGCGGTGCTTTGCCTCACAGAAACGTGGATTAAAAGCGAAAAGCCGGATACAGTCTTCCAGCTGGATGACAGACTTTTTTGAAGCGAACAGCTGCAGCAAGCCAACAGGAAATCATGGAGAGGCAGATTTACGCGAGTAAAAGTTGGTGCACAAATCGTACTGTTGTAAATAGCTCATGCTCGAAGGCTTTGGAGCAAATAACAGTGAAATGTCGGCCACATTATCTACCCCGCAAGTTCAGTGACTTTCATCACAGTTGTTTACATTCCTGTGGATGCCAATGCTAATGACGCCCTGCAGGAGCTTAATGATCTCCTCAGCTCGCTGCAGAGCAAACACCCTGAAGCTCTATGTTGTAACCGGAGACTTTAATCACGTGAATCTAAAGGGACTGTCTCCCAAGCTTTTATCAACATGTGGCAATTCCAACACGTGGAGACAAGACACCAGACCGTGTTTACACAAACGTAAAAGATGCATACAAAGCCAAACCCCGCCCCCACCTAGGACTGTCAGACCACATCTCAATCTTCCTGGCTCCTGCTTACATGCCCCCGCTGAGACGCTCCAGACCGGTATAAAAGAAAGTTAAATGCTAGATCCAGGACAGTGGCCCCATAGTTAGAGATTGTTTTGACCGAACAGACTGGCAGGTTTTCAGAGAAGCTGCTGAAAATGGAGGATCGCTTGATCTAGACCAATACACATCCTCAGTTCTGGGTTACATTAGTACATGTACTGAAACCGTCTCCACTATCATAAATGTTAAAGACTACCCAAACAGAAAACCTTGGCTGAATGCAGAGATGCGCACCCTGCTGAAAGC